CCTGTCCCCACCCCCACAGAGGGTCTCTACCCCTGCCCCTTCCCCATGGGGGGTCCAGCCCCCAACCTTGACCCCAGCCCCTCCCCTCAGCCTGCCATGCCTTCTGCCCCCCACCCCGCTTTTGGGGTGCAGGGGGTGTGTGTGTGGGGTCTGACGTCACTGTCCCCCCAGGTCGGTGTCGGGGGCTGACGTCACTGTCCCCCCAGGTCGGTGTCTGGGGGGGGGTCTGACGTCACTGTCCCCCCAGGTTTTGGGGGGGGGTCTGACGTCACTGTCCCCCCAGGCTTGGGGGCCTGACGTCACTGTCCCCCCAGGTCGGTGTCCCCCCAGGTTTTGGGGGAGGGGGGGGGATCTGACGTCACTGTCCCCCCAGGTTTTGGGGGGGGGTCTCACATCACTGTCCCCCCAGGTCGCTGTCCCTGCAGGGCACGGCGGGCCGGTGCTGGCTGGCTGGCCCTGGGGGCTCTGTGGCCGGGGGTCTCTACGTGGGGCTGAGCCCCCGGGCGCCGCCGCGCCCCGCCTCCTGCCTGAGGGGTCGGCAGGTTCTGCCAGGTCAGGCTGGGGGATGGGGGCCGGGGGTGGAGGGGTCGGGGGGTCAGGGGGCTGCCTCGAGGGGTTCAGCAGGCTCCGCCAGGTCAGGGGGAGGGGGGCCCAGGGGGTTGGGGGTCGAGGGGCTGCTCGAGGAGCGGGCCGGGGAGGCTGGGAGGGGTCAGGGAGTCCTGGGGGCTGAGGGGGTCAGGGGGTCTGGGGTCAGGGGCTGGGGATGTCTGGGAGGGGTCTTGGGGGTCAGGGGGTCCTGGGGGTCCAGGGACCTGGAGGGGGTCAGGGAGCTGGGGATGTCTGTGGGAGTCCTGGAGGTCCAGGGAACTGGGGGTCAGGGGTTGGGGATGTCTGGGGGGTCCTGGGGGCTGGGGGCCCAGGGGTGGCTGCTCAAGGGCTGGGGGCTTCCAGGTTGTGGGGGAGTCTGGGGTCAGGCTTTGCAAGTGAGGGGGTGGGGAGGCTTGGGGGCTTCACCAGACCCTGGGGGTCCAGGAACCTTGGGACCCCCAGGTCTCTGTCTGTGTGGGGGCTCTTGCCAGGTTTGGGGCTGCCCCTGGGGGTCCGAGGGGGGGTGTTTTGGGGTGTGTGGGGAGATTCAGAGTCCCTTTGGGGTGACCTCTCGTGCCCCCCAGGTCCCTGTCCGTGGGGCTCCACATCTCCTCGATTACTGGTGGACCACCCACGTGGAGCTGCGGGGGCTCGATGAGGTGGGGGCTGGGGGATTTGGGGGATTTGTGGGCTCAGGGGTGGGTTTGGGGCTGGGGACTGCGAGGATTTGGGGGGCTGTTGGGGGAGCTCGGGAGGATTTGAGGGGCTGGGAGGTTTGGGGAGTCCAGGGCAGGAATTGGGGGTCAGTGGGGGTTTGGGGACACCCCCTGTCCCTGTGCCCCAGGACAACCCCCAGTACGGGATGTTGGGGTGTCCCTGTGCCCCCCCAATGTCCCCTGTGCTCCCTTTGACCCCAGGACAGCCCCCAGTACGTGGCAGGATGTCGAGGTGTCCCTGTGTCCCCAGACCCCCTCTGTGTCCCCTGTGAGCCCCTCTGACTCCCCTGCCCCCAGGAGAGCCCCCAGTACGTGGCAGGGATGTTGGGGTGTCCCTGTGTCCCCTGTGCCCCCCTGTGACCCCCCATGTCCCCTGTCCCCCAGGATAACCCCCAGTACATGTCAGGGATGTCGGGTGTCCCTGTGCCCCCATGTCCCCTGTGCCCCCATGTCCCCTGTGCCCCCCATATCCCCTGTGCCCCCATGTCCCCTGTGCCCCCCATGTCCTCCTCTGTGACCTCCCATGTCCCCTGTCCCCAGGAGAGCCCGCAGTACGTGGCAGGGATGTCAGGGTGTCCCCTGTGTCCCCTGTGCCCCCTGACCCCTGTCCCCAGGCCAGCCCACAGGGGTGGCAGGGATGTCTGGGTGTCCCCGTGCCCCCCATGTCCCCTGTGCCCCCTCCATCTCCCCTGCCCCCAGGCATAGCCCCCAGCACGTGGCAGGGATGTCGGGTGTCCTGTGTCCCCAGCCCCCATGTCTCCTGTGACCCCCCATGTCCCCTGTGCCCCCTGACCCCCCTGTCCCCCAGGATAGCCCCCAGGACGTGGCAGGGATGTCGAGGTGTCCCCAGTGCCCCCTGTGACCCCCTGACCCCCCTGTCCCCAGGAGAGCCCGCAGTACCTGTCAGGGATGTCGGGGTGTCCCTGTGTCCCCCCATTTCCCTGTGCCCCTGACCCCCTGTCCCCCAGGAGAGCCCCCCAGTACGTGTCAGGATGTCGGGGTGTCCCTGTGCCCCCCATTTCCCTGTGACCCCCTGACCCCCTGTCCCCAGGAGAGCCCCCCAGTACGTGTCAGGGATGTCGGGGGTCCCCTAGACCCCCCATGTCTCCTGTGCCCCTCTAATCTCCCCTGTCCCCCAGGATAACCCCCAGTACGTGTCAGAGATGTCGGTGTCCCCTGTGATCCCCTGTGCCCCCTGACCCCCCTGTCCCCCAGGCCAGCCCCCAGTACCTGTCAGGGATGTCAGGGTGTCCCTGTGACCCTCTGTGCCCCCCTGACCCCCCTGTCCCCCAGGACAGCCCCAGTACCTGTCAGGGATGTTGGGGTGTCCCCTGAGACTCCCCCATGTCCCCTGTCCCCCAGGAGAGCCCCCCAGCACGTGGCAGGGATGTCGGGGTGTCCCCTGTGCTCCCCATGTCCCCTGTGCCCCCCATGTCCCCTGTGACCCCCCATGTCCCCTGTCCCCCAGGATAACCCCCCAGCACGTGGCAGGGATGTCGGGTGTCCCTGTGCCCCCTTTAACCCCCCTGTCCTCCCAGGACAGCCCCCAGCACGTGGCAGGGATGTCGGGTGTCCCTGTGACCCCCTGATGCTTCTATGACTCCCCCTGTCCCCCAGGATAACCCCCCAGCACGTGGCAGGGATGTCGGGGTGCCACCAGCGCGCGGGGCAGCGGCTGTTGCGGGGGGCCCTGCGGAACGGGGGGCTCTACGTGAAGCTGGGCCAGGGGCTCTGCGCCTTCGACCACCTCCTGCCCCCCGAGGTCACCTCCAGCCTGCGGCCCCTCGAGGACAGCGCTGACCCCCGCGGGCAGGACGAGGTGAGGGGACACGGGGGACCCAGGCAGGACATGGGGGGACATGGGGGACATGGGGGACATGGGGGACGGGGGACAGGGGGACATGGGGGACATGGGACATGGGGGACAGGGGGACATGGGGGAGACAGGGGACAAAGTTGTCCCTGCGGCCCTCGAGGACAGCGCAGACCCCTGTGGGCAGGACGAGGTGAGGGGGGCAACACGGGTCATAGGGGGAACACAGGGGGACATGGGGGACATGGGGGACAGGGGGACATGGGGACAAAGCTGCCCCTGAGGGCACCGTGACCCTGCAGCCACTCCAGGACAGCACTGACCCCTGGGGACAGCAGGAGGTGACAGGGGGGCAACAGGGATGAGGGGGGACAGCAGGGATGGGGGGGACAGCAGGAGGTGACAGGGGGACAGGAGGAGGTGACAGGGGGACAGCAGGGATGGGGGGGACAGGAGGACATGAGGACAGTCAGGGACACAAAGGGGCAGCACAGGGACGGTGTGGCCCCTGAGGGGGGGTGGACACCACGAGGGAGGGACAAGGAAGGAGAGTCCCCAGTGTCTGTAATGTCCCTGTCTACAGGGGGACACTTCCTGCCCAACTCCCACACTGTCCCCCCATCCCTGTTCCTGATGTCCCCGTGTCCCTGTCCCAGGTGCATACCCTGTGCCTGGAGCGTTTCCCTGATGTCCCCAATGTTCCCGATGTCCCCATGTCCCTATCCCAGGTGCTGTTCTTGGGGGATTTCCCCAATGTCCCCTGATGTCCCCAATGTCCCTGTCTGTGTCCCCAGTGTCCCCAATGTCCCCCTGCAGGTGGACGCAGTGTTCCTGGAGGATTTCCCTGGTATCCCCATGTCCCTGATGTCCCCAGTGTCCCTGTCTGTGTCCCCATGTCTCTATCCAGGTGGATGCGCTGTTTCTGGAGAATTTCCCTGATGTCCCCAATGTCTCTGTCTGTGTCCCCTGCTGTCCCCCTGCAGGTGGACGTGCTGTTCCTGGAGGATTTCCCCAATGTCCCCAATATCCCTGATGTCCCCAATGTCCCTGTCTGTGTCCCCCATGTCCCTGATGTCCCCCTGTCCCCCTGCAGGTGGATGCGCTGTTCCTGGAGGATTTCCCTCATGTTCCCAATGTCCCTGATATCCCTTGATGTCCCTGTTTGTGTCCCCTGATGTCCCCAATGCCCCCAATGTCCCTGTCTGCGTCCCCGTGCAGGTGGACACGCTGTTCCTGGAGGATTTCCCCGATGTCTCCAATATCCCTAATATCTCTGATGTCCCCAATGTCCCCGATGTCCCTGTCTGTGTCCCCCTGCAGGTGGACGTGCTGTTCCTGGAGGATTTCCCTGATATCCCCATGTCCCCAGTGTCCCTGTCTGTGTCCCCTGATGTCCCCAATGTCCCTGATGTCCCCTGCTGTCCCCAGTGTCCCTGTCTGTGTCCCCCTGTCCCTATCCCAGGTGGACACGATGTTCCTGGAGGATTTCCCTGATGTCCCCAATATCCCTGATATACCCATGTCCCCTGATGTCCCCAGTGTCCTTGTCTGTGTCCCCTGATGTCCCCCTGTCCAGGTGGACGCGCTGTTCCTGGAGGATTTCCCCGATGTCCCCAATGTCCCTGTCTGATGTCCCCAATGTCCCTGTCTGTGTCCTCATGTCCCCAATGTCCTCAATGGCCCCCATGTCTCTGTCTGTGTCCCCAATGTCCCCATGTTCCCCTGCAGGTGGACACGCTGTTCCTGGAGGATTTCCCCAATATCCCTGATGTCCCTGTCTGTGTCCCCTGATGTCCCCAATGTCCCCAATGTTCTTGTCTGTGTCACCAATGTCCTTGTCTGTGTCCCCCTGTCCCTGTCCAGGTGGACGTGCTGTTCCTGGAGGATTTCCCCGATGTCCCTGGTGTCCCTAATGTCCCTGTCTGTGTCCCCCTGCAGGTGGACGCGCTGTTCCTGGAGGATTTCCCCTATGTCCCTGTTGTTCCTAATGTCCCTGTCTGTGTCCCCTGATGTCCCCATGTCCCTGTCTGTGTCCCCATGTCCTTATCCAGGTGGACATGCTGTTTCTGGGGGATTTCCCCAATGTCCCCAATGTCCCCAGTGTCCCTGTCTGTGTCCCCAATGTCCCTGTCCAGGTGGACGCGCTGTTCCTGGAGGATTTCCCCTATGTCCCTGGTGTCCCTAATGTCCCTGTCTGTGTCCCCTGATGTCCCCAGTGTCCCTGTCTGTGTCCCCCTGCAGGTGGACGCGCTGTTCCTGGAGGATTTCCCCGATGTCCCCTGATGTCCCCATGTCCCTGTCTGTGTCCCCAATGTCCCCATGTCCCTGTCTGTGTCCCCCTGCAGGTGGACGCGCTGTTCCTGGAGGATTTCCCTGATGTCCCCAATATCCACAATGTCCCTGATGTCCCCAATGTCCCAGTCTGTGTCCCCTGATGTCCCCAATATCCCTGATATCCCCATGTCCCCTGATGTCCCTAATGTCCCAGTCTGTGTCCCCAGTGTCCCTGTCTGTGTCCCCATGTCCCTGTCTGTGTCCCTATCCAGGTGGACGCGCTGTTCCTGGAGGATTTCCGGGCGCTGCCCTCGGGGCTGTTCCGGGATTTCGATTACGCTCCGGTGGCCGCGGCCAGCCTGGCTCAGGTGCACCGGGCCACGCTCCCCGACGGCACCCCCGTGGCGGTCAAGGTGGGCCTGGGGACGGCACGGGGGGGGGACCCCAGGGACACCCCCGGTGATACAGGGACACCCTCGGTGACAGAGGGACACCCCCAGTGACACAGGGACACCCCCAGTGACAGAGGGACACCCCCAGGTGACACAGGGACACCGCCCAGTGACACTGAGCCCCCCCAGTGACAGAGGGACCCCCCAGTGACACTGAGACCCCTTGGTGACACTGAGACCCCCAGTGACAGAGGGACCCCCCAGTGACAGAGGGACCCCCCAGTGACACAGGGACCCCCCAGTGACACTGAGCCCCCCAGTGACACAGGGACACCCCCAGTGACACAGGGACACCCCAGGTGACACTGAGCCACCCAGGTGACACAGTGACACTCCCATGACACAGGGACACCCCAGGTGACACCTGAGCCCCCCAGGTGACACAGTGACACCCCCCATGACACAGGGACACCCCTAGTGACACTGAGCCCCCTAGGTGACACAGGGACACCCCCCGTGACACAGGGACCCCCAGGTGACACTGAGCCCCCCATGACACAGGGACACCCCCCAAGTGACACTGAGACCCCCAGGTGACACAGGGACACCCCCCATGACACTGAGACACCCCCCAGTGACACTGAGCCCCCCAGGTGACACAGGACACCCCCCAAGTGACACTGAGACCCCCAGGTGACACTGAGCTCCCTCAGACACCCCCAGGTGACACTGAGCCCCCCTAGTGACACTTGAGCCCCCCAAGTGACACTGAGACACCCAGGTGACACAAAGACACCCCCTGGTGACACTGAGACCCCTTGGTGACACAGGGACACCCCAGTGACACTGAGCCCCCCAGGTGACACAGGGACACCCCCCATGACACAGGGACACCCCCAGTGACACTGAGCCCCCCAGGTGACCCTGAGCCCCCCAGGTGCAGTACCTGGACCTGCGGGACCGCTTCGAGGGGGACCTGCGGACGGTGGAGCTGCTGCTGCGCCTCGTGGAGTTCATGCACCCCGACTTCTCCCTGGGCTGGGTGCTGCAGGTGGGGACACTTGGGGACACCTGGGGACACCTGGGGACACCAAACCCACCCAGAGACCCTCCTGTCCCCATCCCTTCCTGCACCCCGACTTCTCCCTGGGCTGGGTGCTGCAGGTGGGGACACCTGGGGACACACCTGGGCACACCTGGGGACACCAAACCCACCCAGACACCCCCTATCCCCATCCCTTCCTGCACCCCGACTTCTTCCCTGGGCTGGGTGCTGCAGGTGGGGACACCAAACCCACCCAGACACCCCCTATCCCTGTCCCCTCCTGCACCCCGACTTCTTCCTGGGCTGGGTGCTGCAGGTGGGGACACACCTGGGGACACACTGGGGACACACCTGGGGACACCTGGGGACACACCTGTCATCTCCTGTCAGCCTCTGGGGATACACCTGTCACCCCCCTGGGGACACCCCGATGACCCCCTGTCCCCATCATACCCATGGTGCCTGTCCCCTGTCCCTCTGTCCCCCATGTCCCCCTGTCCTCTGTCCCCGTGTCCCCCTGCCCCTATCCCCTGTCCCCCTGTCCCCCTGTCCCCCTGTCCCTCTGTCCTCTGTCCCTCATGTCCCCCCTGTCCCCATGTCCCCCTGCCCTCTGTCCCTCTGTCCTCTGTTCCTCTGTCCCTCTGTCCCTCATGTCCCCTGTCCCCTGCCCTCTGTCCCTCCTTGTCCCCCTGTCCCCCCATCTCCCTCTGTCCCTCCATGTCCCTCTGTCCTCCTGTCCCTCATGTCCCTCCTGTCCCCCTGTCCTCCTGCCCTCATGTCCCCTATGTCCCCTGCCCTCTGTCCCTCTGTCCCCATGTCCCCATGTCCCCATGTCCCCCATGTCCCCCCTGTCCCTCTGTCCCTCTGTCCCCATGTCCCTCTGTCCCTCTGTCCCCATGTCCCCTGTCCCTTGTCCCCCATGTCTCCCTGCCCCTTTGTCCCTCATGTCCCCTGTCCCCTGTCCCCGTGTCCCCCCTTGCTCCGTTTGTCCCGGTGTCCCCTGTCCCCGTCACAGCTCTCATCCCCTGTCCCCCTCTTCTTGTGTCACCCCCTGTGTCACCCGTGTGACCTGTGTGTCCCCTGCAGCTGAAGGGGACCCTGTCACCCCATGCCACCCCTGTGTCCCCCTGTGTCCCCCCTGTGCCACCCCTGTGTCACCCCTGTGTCACCCCCGTCCTCCCTGTGTCCCCAGCAGCTCCAGGGGACCCTGTCACCCTGTGCCACCCCTGTGTCACCCCTGTGTCACCCCCGTGTCCTCCCTGTGTCACCCGTGTGACCTGTGTGTCCCCAGCAGCTGAAGGGGACCCTGTCACCCCTGTGCCACCCCTGTGTCACCCCTGTGTCACCCCCCCGTGTCACTCCCTGTGTCCCCAGCAGCTCAAGGGGACCCTGTCACCCCTGTGTCCCCCCTGTGTCACCCCCGTGTCCTCCCTGTGTCCCCCCTGTGTCACCCCCTGTGCCTCCCTGTGTCCCCCGCAGCTCAAGGGGACCCTGTCACCCCTGTGTCACCCCCCTGTGTCCCCTGTGTCACCCCTGTCCTCCTGTGTCCCCCGCAGCTCAGGGGACCCTGTCACCCCTGTGTCACCCCTGTGCCACCCCTGTGTCCCCCCTGTGTCCCCCTGTGTCCCCCGCAGCCTCGAGGGACCCTGTCACCCCTGTGCCACCCCTGTGTCACCCCTGTGTCACCCCCCCGTCCTCCCTGTGTCCCCAGCAGCTCAAGGGGACCCTGTCCCCCCTGTGTCACCCCTGTGTCACCCCCTGTGTCACCCCTGTGTCCCCAGGAGCTGAAGGGGACCCTGTCCCCCCTGTGTCCCCCCTGTGTCCCCCTGTGTCCCCCCTGTGTCACCCCTGTGTCACCCTGGCCCCCTGTGTCCCTCAGGAGCTGAAGGGCCGCTATCACCCCTATGTCACCCCATGTGCCACCCCATGTCCCCCCTGTGTGTCCCCAGGAGCTGAAAGGGACCCTGTCACCCCTGTGTCACCCCCTGTGCCACCCCCTGTGTCACCCCCCTGTGTCACCTCCCTGTCCCCCTGTGTCACCCCTGTGTCCCCCCTGTGTCCCCCCTGTGTCACCCCCTGTGTCCCCCCTGTGTCCCCAGGAGCTGAAGGGGACCCTGTCCCCCCTGTGTCCCCCCTGTGTCACCCCCATGTCCCTGTGTGTCCCCAGGAGCTGAAGGGGACGCTGGCCCTGGAGTTGGACTTCGAGAACGAGGCCCGGAACGCCGAGCGCTGCGGGAGGGACCTGGGACACCTGCGGGGGGTGGCAGTGCCACGGGTGCACTGGGGACACTGCAGCAAGGTGGGGCACCTGGCAACACCTGGGGACACCTGGGGACACACCTGGGACACACCTGGGACACCTGGGACACACCTGGGACACCTGGGACACACCTGGGACACACCTGGGGACACCTGGGACACCCTGGGACAGCTGGGACACACCTGGGACACCTGGGGACACCTGGGGACACCTGGGACACACCTGGGGACACCTGGGACACCTGCAGGGGGTGGCAGTGCCACGGGTGCACTGGGGACACTGCAGCAAGGTGGGGCACCTGGGACACCTGGGGACACACCTGGGGACACCTGGGACACACCTGGGACACACCTGGGACACCTGGGACACACCTGGGACACACCTGGGACACACCTGGGACACCTGCGGGGGGTGGCAGTGCCACGGGTGCACTGGGGACACTGCAGCAAGGTGGGGCACCTGGCACACCTGGGGACACCTGGGGACACCTGGGGACACCTGGGACACACCCTGGGACACCTGGGACACCTGGGACACCTGGGACACACCTGGGACACCTGGGACACCTGCAGGGGGTGGCAGTGCCACGGGTGCACTGGGGACACTGCAGCAAGGTGGGGCACCTGGCACACCTGGGGACACCTGGGGATACCTGGGGACACCTGGGACACACCTGGGGACACCTGGGACACCTGGGGACACCTGGGACACCTGGGACACACCTGGGACACACCTGGGACACCTGGGGACACCTGGGACAGCTGGGACACACCTGGGACAGCTGGGACACACTTGGGGACACATCCTGGGGATACACCTGGGGACACACCTGGGACACATCCTGGGGACATGAAGGGGGACAGGGACCGTGGGTGTGACTGGGACAGGGACAGTGGGGACAGGGGACAAGGACAGTGGGGAGGGGGGACAGGGGACAGTGGGTGTGACAGGCACAGGGACAGGGGATGAGGGGACAGGTGACAGGGGACAGTGGGTGTGACAGGGACAGGGATGGTGGGGACAGGGGATGAGGGGACAGGTGACAGGGGACAGTGGGTGTGACAGGGACAGGGATGGTGGGGACAGGGGATGAGGGGACAGGTGACAGGGACAGTGGGGACAGGGGACAGTGGGTGTGACAGGGACAGGGATGGTGGGGACAGGGGATGAGGGGACAGGTGACAGGGACAGTGGGGACAGGGGACAATGGGTGTGACAGGGACAGGGATGGTGGGGACAGGGGATGAGGGGACAGGGGACAAGGACTGGGTGTGACTGACGGGACAAGGGGGACAGGGGGACAGGGACTGGGTGTGCTGGGGACAGTGACAGAGCAGGGTGGGGACAGGGGGTGGCAGAGGGGGACGGGGGCGACAGGGGACACTGGGAATGGAGGGACAGGGACAGTGGGCACAGTGGGGAGAGGGGATGGAGGGGACAACAGACAGGGACAAGGGGGGGCAGGGGACAGTGGTGTGATGGGGACAGGATGGGACAGCAGGGACAGGGAACAGTGGTGTGAGGGGGACAGGACAAGGGACAGGACAGGGGACAGCAGGGATAAGGGACAGTGGGTGTGATGGGGACAGGACAGGGGACACAGGGGACAGCAGGGACAAGGGACAGTGGGTGTGATGGGGACAGGACAAGGGACAGGACAGGGGACAGGACAGGGGACACAGGGGACAGCAGGGACAGTGGGGACAGGGGACAGTGGGTGTGATGGGGACAGGACAGGGGACACGGGGGACTGGGGGTGTGACAAGGACAGGGGGGCTGGCACATCGGGGAGTGGGTGGGGGTGGGCTGGGGCTGCCAGCCCCCAAACTGACACCCCATTTCTGTGTCCCCCCCTGTCCCTGTGTGTCCCCTGTCCCTGTCCCTGTGTCCCCTCCTGTCCCTGTGTCCCTTCCTGTCCCCTGTCCCTGTGTCCCCCCTGTCCCTGTCCCTGTGTCCCCTGTCCCTGTCCCTGTGTCCCCCCCTGTCCCTGTGTGTCCCCTGTCCCTGTGTGTCCCCTGTCCCTGTCCCTGTGTCCCCCCCTGTCCCCGTGTCCCCTCCTGTCCCTGTCCCTGTGTCCCCCCTGTCCCTGTCCCTGTGTCCCCCCTGTCCCTGTCCCTGTGTCCCCCCTGTCCCTGTGTCCCCCTGTCCCTGTCCCCCTCCTGTCCCTGTGTCCCCCCTGTCCCTGTCCCTGTCTCTGTCCCCGTGTCCCCCCCTGTCCCCAGCGGGTGCTCACGGCCGATTTCTGCGACGGCTGCAAGATCAGCAACGTGGAGGGGATCCAGGAGATGGGGCTGGGGCTGCGAGACGTCAGTTGGGGGGTCTCTGGGGGGGTCCCGAGGTCCCTGTGGGGGTCTGGGTGTCTCTGGGGGGTCTCTGGGGGGGTCCCTGGGGTCCCTGTGCCCCCCCTTTCCCTGAGCAAACCCCATGGGGGGGATCCAAGAGACGGGACTGGGATTGAGAGGCGTTAGCTGAGGGGTCCCAAGGGGGTCCTGGGGGAATTTGGGGGGCTCTGGGGGTCCCAGCACTCAGTGCCCCCCTCCTGCCTCCCCCAGACCGAGGGGGTCCGGAGGGGTTTGGGAGGGGACCCTGGGGGATCCCAGAGGATTTGAGGGGGTTTCCAGGTGTATTTGGGGCATCCCGGGGATTTGGGGGTGTCCCAGGGGTTATTTGGGATCCCAGGGGGTTTAGGGGTGTCCCAGGAGTCCCCAGGGATTTGGGGGGTCTCAGGGGGTTATTTGGGATCCCAGGGGTTGGGGGCTTGGGGGTCCTGGAGGGGTTTGGGGTGTCCCAGGAGTCCCCAGGGGTTTGGGGGTGTCCTGGGGGTTATTTGGGATCCCAGGGGGTTTTGGGGGTGTCCCAGGAGTCCCCAGGGATTTGGGGGTGTCCCCGGGGGTTATTTGGGATCCCAGGGGGTTGGGGGTGTCCCAGGAGTCCCCAGGGGTTTGGGTTGGCGTCCCGGGGGTTATTTGGGATCCCAGGGGGTTGGGGGTGTCCCAGGAGTCCCCAGGGATTTGGGGGCATCCCGGGGGGTTATTTGGGATCCCGGAGGATTTGGGGGGTTGGGGGTGTCCCAGGAGTCCCCAGGGATTTGGGGGCGTCCCAGGGGGTTTGGGGGGATCCTGGGAGTCCCGAGGGGTTCAGGGGGGTCCCAGAAGGTATTTGGGGTCCCCCGGGGGTCCCTGACCCCCGTGCCCCCCAGACCGCAGAGAAGCTGATCCAGGTGTTTGCTGAGCAGATTTTCTACACCGGGTTCATCCACGCGGACCCTCACCCCGGGAACGGTACCCCCAAAACGGGGGGACCCCAACACGGGGGGGACACCCAGGGACTGGGGGGGACACCCAGGGATTGGGGGACACCGTGGGGGGTCATCCAGGACTGGAGGGACACGCAGGGATTGGGGGACACCCAGGGTTAGGGGACACCCAGGGATTGGGGGATCCAGGGATTGGGGGGACACCCAGGGATTGGGGGATCCAGGGATTGGGGGACACCCAGGGAGTGGGGGGACACCCAGGGATTGAGGGGGATCCAGGGACTGGGGGACACCCAGGGATTGGGGGATCCAGGGATTGGGGGGACACCCAGGGAGTGGGGGACACCCAGGGATTGAGGGGATCCAGGGACTGGGGGCTCATCCAGGGATTGGGGGACACCCAGGGATTGGGGGACACCCAGGGATTGGGGGATCCAGGGATTGGGGGACATCCAGGGATTGGGGGGACACCCAGGGATTGGGGGGGACACCCAGGGACTGGGGGGCTCATCCAGGGATTGGGGGGGACATCCAGGATTGGGGGACACCCAGGGACTGGGGGCTCATCCAGGGATTGGGAGACACCCAGGGATTGGGGGACACCTAGGGACTGGGGGCCTCATCCAGGAGTGGGGGGACACCCAGGGACTGGGGGGACACCCAGGGACTGGGGGGCTCATCCAGGGATTGGGGGACATCCAGGGATTGGGGGACACCCAGGGATTGGGGGCTCATCCAGGGATTGGGGGACATCCAGGATTGGGGGTCATCCAGGATTGGAGGGGACACCCAGGGATTGGGGGACACCCAGGATTGGGGGACACCCAGGATTGGAGGGGACACCCAGGGATTGGGGGACACCCAGGGATTGGGGGACACCCAGGATTGGGGGACACCCAGGATTGGGGGATCCCCAGGATTGGGGGATCCAGGGATTGGGGGACATCCAGGGATTGGGGGGATCCAGGGATTGAGGGGATCCAGGGATTGGGGGACACCCAGGGACTGGGGTCATCCAGGGATTGGGGGGACACCCAGGATTGGGGGTCATCCAGGGATTGGGGGATCCCTAGGATTGGGGGACACCCAGGGATTGGGGGACACCCAGGGATTGGGGGATCCAGGGATTGGGGAACCTGAAATGGGGGGACCCTGAAGTTGGGGGTGATCCTGAAATTGGGGGTGAACCCTAAAATCGGGGGATCCTAAACTTGGGGGGAATCCAAGAGGAGCAGCCAAAAAGGGGGAGCCCAAAAATGGGGAGCTTGAAACTGAGGAGGAACCCCAAAAGTGGGGGTGTCCCAAAATGGGGGAGGGACCCCAAATAGTAGAGACCCCAAAAATGGGGTAATTGTGAAAATTGGGGAGTGGGAAGGTGGAGGGGGTGTCTCTAGAGGGGGTGGGGTTCCCAACCAAGGAGGGTCCCCAAAAATGCAGGGGGACCCAAAAGGGGGTCCCTAAGGGCGGGTTGACCCAAGGAGGAGGGGGAGGTCATGGAGGGGGAGGAGGGTCCCCAAAAAGGAAGGGGGTGGTTCTAAGGGAAGAGGGGGAGGAGAAGGACACGGGGAGGGGTCCCCAAAAGGGGGTGTCCCAAAAGAGGGGGTCCCCAAAAGCTGTGCCCCCAGTGCTGGTCCGGCGGGGCCCCGATGGCAAAGCTCAGCTGGTGCTGCTGGACCACGGCCTGTACGAGACCCTCAGCGAGAGGTCAGGGGGCCCCAAACCCGGGGGGGGACCCCAAAACCTGGGGTCCCCAAACCTCGGGAACCCCCTGAGTTCTCTGTGCCCCCCAGGGACCGGGGTGTCGCTGTGTGGGCTCTGGAGATCGATCGCCCTGCGCGACCACGACGGGATGAGGGACAGGGCGGCCGAGCTGGGGGTGCAGGGTGAGGGGGGACCCCAAAACGGGGGGAAACACCCCAAAACTGGAGGGGGGAACACCCCAAAATGGGGGGAAACGTCCCAAAACTGGGGGAAAACACCCCAAAACGGGGGGAAACACCCCAAAACTGGGGGAAAACACCCCAAAACGGGGGAAAACACCCCAAAACGGGGGGAAACACCCCAAACTGGGGGAAAACACCCCAAAACTGGGGGGGTAACACCCCAAAATGGGCGGGAAACATCCCAAAACTGGAGGGGGGAACACCCCAAAATGGGGGGAGACATCCCAAAACTGGGGGAAAAACACCCCAAAAATGGGGAAACACCCCTGAAACTTGGGGGCAGGGTGAGGGGGACCCCAAAACTGGGGGCAGGGGGTGGGGACTCTCAAGTGGGGAGTGACACATCCCAAAACTGGGGGCAGGGTGAGGGGGAACCCCAAAATGGGGGGGAAACACCCCAAGACTGGGGGGGAAACACCCCAAAACCGGGGGGGTTCAGGGTGAGGGAGGACCCCCAAAATAGGGAAGAGAAACACCCCAAAACTGGAACACTGGGGATCCGAGTTGGGAGGGGGACCCACCCAATAACCTAGGGGGGGGTGGGGAAAAACCCCAAACCCACATCACAACGGGGACCCCCAAATCTGTAACCCCGGGGTGGGGTGGTGGGGTCAGCATGGAGAGGGGGGGATCCCAAAAACCCCCTGACACCCCAAACCCCCTCTGGTGCTGCCCCCCAGACCGGGTGGTGGTGTGGTGGGTCAGCATGGAGAGGGGGATCCCCAAAACCCCTGACACCCCAAACCCCTTCTGGTGCTGCCCCCAGACCGGGGTGGGTGGGGTGGTGTGAGTGGGGTCAGCATGGAGAGGGGGATCCCAAACCCCTGACACCCCAAACCCCTCTGGTGCTGCCCCCAGACCAGGGTGGTGTGGTGGGTCAGCATGGAGGGGGATCCCTAAACCCCCTGACACCCCAAACCCCCTCTGGTGCTGCCCCCCAGACCGGGGTGGGGTGGTGTGGTGGGGTCAGCATGGAGAGGGGGGGATCCCAAAGCCCTGACACCCCAAACCCCTCTGGTGCTGCCCCCAGACCGGGGTGGGGGGGGTGGTGTGGTGGGGTCAGCATGAGGGGGGATCCCCAAGCCCCCTGACACCCCAAACCCCTGGTGCTGCCCCCAGACCGGGGTGGGGGTGGTGGTGGGGTCAGCATCAAGGTGGGGGATCCCAAACCCCTGACACCCCAAACCCCCTCTGGTGCTGCTCCCCCAGACCGGGGTGGGGGTGGTGTGGTGGGGTCAGCATCAAGGTGGGGGGATCCCCAAAAACCCCCTGACACCCCAAACCCCCTCTGGTGCTGCCCCCAGACCGGGGTGGGGGTGATGTGGTGGGGTCAGCATTAAGGTGGGGGATCCCTAAACCCTGACACCCCAAACCCCTCTGGTGCTGCCCCCAGACCGGGGTGGGGTGGTGTGTGGGGGTCAGCATGGAGGGTGGGGATCCCCAAAACCCCTGACACTCCCAAACCCCTCTGGTGCCGCCCCAGACCGGGTGGGTGGGGTGGTGTGGTGGGGTCAGCGTGGAGGGTGGGGATCCCAAAACCCTGACACCCCAAACCCCCTCTGGTGCTGCCCCCCAGACCGGGTGGGGTGGTGGTGGGGGTCGTGCATGGAGGGGGGACCCCAAAACCCCTGACACCCCAAACCCCTCTGGTGCTGCCCCCAGACCGGTGTGTGGGCGCAGGTCGCATGGAGGTGGGGATCCCAAAACCCTCTGACACCCCAAACCCTCTGGCTGCCCCCAGACCGGGGTGGGGTGGTGGTGTGGTGGGGTCAGCATGGAGAGGGGGGGATCCCAAAAACCCCCTCTGGTGCTGCCCCCCAGACCGGGGTGGGGGTGGTGGTGGGGTCAGCATGGAGGGGGGATCCCTAAAACCCCCCTGACACCCCAAACCCCCTCTGGTGCTGCCCCCCAGACTACGTGCTGTTCTCGGAGATGCTGATGCAGCGGCCGCTGGGCCGGGGGTCGCTGCTGGGCCGGGGGCGCGCGCTGAGCGCGGAGGAGCGGGGGTACCTGCAGGCCATGGCGGGGCAGCGCTTCCCCCACATCGTGGCCGTGCTGCGCGCGCTGCCCCGCCCGATGCTGCTCGTCTTCCGCAACATCAACACCGTGCGCAGCGTCCACGCCGCGCTGGGAGCGCCTGCCGACAGATACGGGCTCATGGCACGCAGGTGAGGGCATGGGGGGACAGGTGTGTCACAGGTGTGTCACAGGTGTGTCACAGGTGTGTCACAGGTGTGTCAGCCACTGACAGATACGGGCTCATGGCGCGCAGGTGAGGGACAGGTGTGTCACAGGTGTGTCACCCACAGACAGATACGGGCTCATGGCACGCAGGTGAGGGCATGGGGGGACAGGTGTGTCACCCACCGACCGCTACGGGCTCATGGCACGCAGGTGAGGGACAGGTGAGGGACAGGTGTGTCACCCACTGACAGATACGGGCTCATGGCACGCAGGTGAGGGACAGGTGTGTCACAGGTGTGCTCAGGTGTGGCACCCACAGACAGATACGGGCTCATGGCACGCAGGTGAGGGCATGGGGGGACAGGTGTGTCACAGGTGTGTCACCCACTGACAGATACGGGCTCATGGCGCGCAGGTGAGGGACAGGTGTGGCAGAGGTGTCACAGGTGTGTCACCCGCCGACCGGTACGGGCTCATGGCACGCAGGTGAGGGACAGGTGTGGGACAGGTGTGCTCAGGTGTGTCACAGGTGTGTCACAGGGGCACCCACAGACAGATACGGGCTCATGGCACGCAGGTGAGGGGCAGGTGTGGCACAGGTGTGTCACCCACTGACAGATACGGGCTCATGGCGCGCAGGTGAGGGACAGGTGTGGCAGAGGTGTGTCACAGGTGTGCTCAGGTGTGTCACCCACTGACAGATACGGGCTCATGGCACGCAGGTGAGGGACAGGTGTGGCACCCACAGACAGATACGGGCTCATGGCGCGCAGGTGAGGGACAGGTGTGGGACAGGTGTGTCACCCACCGACAGGTACGGGCTCATGGCACGCAGGTGAGGGCATGGGGGCACAGGTGTGTCACCCACAGACAGATACGGGCTCATGGCGCGCAGGTGAGGGACATGGGTGGCACAGGTGTGTCACCCACAGACAGATACGGGCTCATGGCGCGCAGGTGAGGGACAGGTGTGTCACAGGTGTGCTCAGGTGTGTCACAGGTGTGGCACCCACTGACAGATACGGGTTCATGGCACGCAGGTGAGGGGACAGGTGTGGCACCCACTGATAGATATGGACTCATGGCACGCAGGTGAGGGACAGGTGTGGCACAGGTGTGTCACCCATTGACCGGTATGGACTCATGGCGTGCAGGTGAGGGGACAGGTGTGTCACAGGTGTGCTCAGGTGTGTCACAGGGGCACCCACTGACCAATATGGACTCATGGCCCGCAGGTGAGGGGATGAGGGGGGACAGGTGTGGCACCCACTGACAGATACGGACTCATGGCGCGCAGGTGAGGGACAGGTGTGTCACAGGGGTGTCACAGGTGTGTCAGAGGTGTACTCAGGTGTGTCACCCACTGACCGATACGGCCTCATGGCCCGCAGGTGAGGGCACGGGGGGGGACACAGGGGTGTCTCAGGTGTACTCAGGTGTGCCCCAGGGGTACAGGGGGTACACAGGGGGTCCCCAGCAACAGCTGCCACCTCAGGGCTTACAGGTGAATGCTCAGGTGTGCCCAGGTGTGCCCCAGAGGTGCCCAGGTGTGCCCCAGAGCCCGGGGTACAGGGGTAGGGGGGGCACCTGGGGATTTAGGGGGTGGCAGGGGGAGCCCCTGCCGAGCACTTCAGGCTCGAGGTCCGCAGGTGAGTGCCCAGGTGGGCACAGGTGAGAGCAGGTGTAACCCAGGGGAGCCCCAGGTGTGTCCTGGGGGAGGTCTAGGGGGCCACGAGGGGGGGATCTGGGGGTGCCCTGCCAGCTGCTACGGGCTCACAGCCTGCAGGTGAGTTTGGGGGCCCAGGTGTGCCCTGGGGGAATTTGGGGGGGTACAAGGGGGGTGGGGGTGCCCAGGTAAGACTGGGGAGTTGTGGAGCTGTTGGGGATGCCCAGGTGAGTTTTGGGGGGTCAGGGGGTGTCCAGGTGAGCCCCAGGTGAGGGATTTTGGAGGGAGGTCGGGGGGGTGTGGGTGCCCAGGTGAGCTGTGGGGGTTCAGGGGGTGCCCAGGTGAGCTGTGGGGGTTCAGGGGTGTCCAGGTGAGCTGTGAGGGGCTGTGGCTGTTTGGGGGTGCCCAGGTGAGCTCCGAGCGCACCCTCTCTGTCCCTCCCAGCGCGCGCAGCTGGAGCCGCCTGTGCCGGGGGTCCCGGGGGTCTCTGGGGCAGCGACTTTGGCTGCACTGGGAGAGCCTCAAGTTCGAGGTGGCCCTCAGGTAGCGGGGGGGCAGGTGAGGGGAGGAGGGTTTGGGGGCAGGTGAGGGGAGGATTTGGGGGCCCCAGGTGAGGGAGGAGGATTTGGGGGCCCCCAGGTGAGAGGAGGTGGCTGTGGGGGTTTCAGGTATGGGGGTCCAGGGTTTGGGGGGATCCTCAGGTGTGTGTGTGTGGGGGAATTGGGGTATGGGGGTGGGAACCAGGTATGGGGAGACCCTTAGGTGTGGGGATCCGGGGGGCACCCAGGTGAGGGGGTGGGACAGGCGTGGCGAGGGGACTCAGGGTTGGTGGGTGGGGTGGTCCCCAGGGTTAGAAGTCTGCAGGTTTTGGGTCCCCAGATATTTGGGTACCTCAGGTGTGTGTGTGTGACTCCCCTCCAGGTGTGTGTGACCCCAGGTGTGTGTGACCCCCAGGTGTGTGCCCCCAGGTGTGTGCGCCCCCCAGGTGTGTGACCCCAGTGTGTCCCCCCGTGACCCCTGTCCCCCAGGGTGTGTGACCCCCAGGTGTGTCTGCTGACCCCCAGGTGAGTGTGTGGCCCCCCAGGTGTGTGTCCCCCCGTGACCCCGCTGTCCCCCAGGTTCGAGTCCCTTCGGGCCCGGCTGGCGGCGGCGGCGCTGCGGCTGCTGAGCCGCTGGGGGGCGCTGCCGCACGGGGAGCAGCTGCAGAGACTCCTCCAGGCCTGAGGGGGGCGCTGCAGGGACCCGAACAGCCCCCGAAACACCCCAAAAACGACGCCAAAAACTCACCCCAAAAACTCACCCCGCACGGAAACACCGAGGGGATCGGCTGCAGAGAGTCCTCAGGGCCCGGGGGTGTGCCAGAGACACCAGAACCGCCCCAAATTACCCCAAAAACTCAATTCATAAACCCTGAGCGGAGCAGCTGCAGAGAGTCCTCCGGGCCTGAGAGGGCGCCACAGGAACCCAAAACAGCCCCAAATTACCCCAAAAACTCATCCCAAAATAAACTCCAAACATTAACACCGAGGGGAGCAGCTGCAGAGAGTCCTCCAGGCCTGGGGGGGTGCCCAAGACACCCAAAACTACCCGGAATTGCCCCAAAACCAGTGGCCGCTGCTCCAGGGGGGTGCCAAAAACAACCCTAAACACCCCCAAAACCGACCAAACGCCCAGCAAAGCCTTTCTCAAACCCCCAGCTCCTCCCCCCAGACTGGCTGTGAGCCCCCAATAAACCCCCCCGTGACCCACGGGCACCCCAGGAGCGGCTGTGGGGGTTGGTGTTTTATTACAAACGTGGAGTTTTGGGGGGAAGGGGGGTGGGATTTGGGGGTCCCGAAGCCCCTCAGAAGTGGGCCGTGACTCGGTCGATCTCCAGGAGGTCGTCCAGGATCTGTGGGATCGGTGGGAAGGGGCAGTCAGGGACCGTCACCTGTGCCAGCCCTGCCCTTGTCCCAAACCCGTCCCCCGTGGGGCCGCCGTGTCCGGGCCCCTCCCCGTTTTCCTGGCCAGTCCCCCGTGTCCCACCCCTGTCCCTGTCCCAGTCCCACCCCTGTCCCAGTCCCATGTACGATGTCCGGGGTGGTCCCCATTTTCCTGGTCAGCCCCTCCATGTCCCAGCCCTGTCCCTGTCCCAGCCCCACGTACGATGTCCGGGGTGGTCCCCATTTTCCTGGCCAGCCCCCCCAGTGTCCCACCCCTGTCCCTGTCCCTGTCCCAGCCCCACGTACGATGTCCAGGGTGGTCCCCATTTTCCTGGCCAGCCCCCCCAGTGTCCCAGCCCTGTCCCTGTCCCAGCCCCACGTACGATGTCCGGGGTGGTCCCCATTTTCCTGGCCAGTCCCCCCCGTGTCCCAGCCCTGTCCCTGTCCCAGCCCCACGTACGATGTCCGGGGTGGTCCCTATTTTATTAGCCAGCCCCGTCGTCCCACCCTGTCCCAGCCCTGTCCCTGTCCCAGCCCTGTCCCTGTCCCAGCCCTGTCCCTGTCCCAGTCCCAGCCCCACGTCACGATGTCGGGGTGGTCCCTATCTTCTTGGCCAGCTCCCCCTCTCCATGGCGCTCAGGTGCCAGGAACCTGTCTAGCAGCCCCCGTCCAGCACGCCCCTGACCCCGCCTGGAGCAAATGCTGCCACCCAAAGCAAAACTAGCAGAGATCACAGTGATGAGTGCACACAGTGACAGAGCATGGCAGTATGCAACAGGGATGCAGAGCACAGTGACACAGACAGCACAGGGAGTCCCA